CCAGTAAACCTTTCCAGCTGGTGAAACAGTCTTTGCCTTCCTTGGTAGGGGTGTCCCTGGGTGCTTCTATTGTTTAGACTGTTGTTTGGTCTCAGGGGTGAAATGATGGACCCATGTTTCATCCATAGTCACAAACCTCTGCAGAAAGTTAATAGGATCAGATACACAGCCTGAAATAGTCAGGGAATAATAGAACTGAAAAAGGACCTTCCTACTTAACTTCATCGATACAAGGCTCACAAGTTATCAATCATATATACTTAAAACACCCATAAACTTTACAGTGAAGTTGTTTTCTCTTTAGTACTATATATATATCACATGCATTGATAGAAAACCATGGAACTTTTTATGAATAAACAACCCTTAGACTCAATTTCAAGGTCAATTGATTTAAAACTTTAGACAATTTTCTCCAATTCATAAGACCTAACAATAAGATACAGACTTGTAGCGAAATGCGTTCTGTAGTTTGGTGAGATAAAGTTGCAGGGCTTAGATATGTTGGAGAGTTTCAATCTGCCTTTGATATAAAATAGGGAAGATCATTTGATAGAAAAAATCCAAAGTTGATGGACACAAGAGAATAATTGAGACATCTGATTATGAAATAGATAGAAATAATACAATTTTTTTTCAATATAAGGTTTGTAAAGAGAAGTTTGATTCCCACACCAAACAACTGAATCAAATTATGTTTTGCTTTTCAGTGCAAAAAATGTGTCGTTGTTAAAAAGACTTGAATATGAAAAGATTTTTACAGAATATGCAGATAAAAAGCATGGCTATTCTATTTCAGGTAATGAACATTTGAGGTAATAAAGATATCTTTTATTATTATTTTTGTTTTGTTTTTTGCACTTATAGACTTGTCAGAGGATTTGATTTTTAAATGCTGACTGGATGATGCAGGAATAAGGAAAATTATTAAAAAGGTTATTCCAGAAAATTTTTTAACTAAAACTAAAAAATAAATCATTTCTATAGCTCACTTACCTCACTTTCCCGCTAATTCTTTCTAAATAAATTCTATTAGTGAAATCTCTTAAACTGAACCTTGACCCTTGGAGTGGAGTAGATGTTAAACTGGAATTAAGACAACTCATTAAGACCAGATCAATTTTGCATTGATGTTTTGATGCTGTACATATGATGTATATGGGTTTCTTTTATGTGTTTTGTAGGGAAACGTCTACCAAGTATCCTGCTACAGACAGGTGCATCTTTTTATGCTGTACAGCAAGTAATGTAAGTACTTACAAATCAGACATTCAAAACGTATTGTAGGAGAAGGGACCTTTAGTGAAGTGCCTATAGGAGGAGAGCCTACAAGAAAAGAGGCCTATGGTAGGAGGGAGCTTGTAATGGGAGGGTGTGAGGGGACATAAGGAGGATAGAGTGAAGAAGGAAGGAAAGAGCTTGTAGGAGGGTGTGACCTGTAGTACATTGTAGGTGGAGGAAGCTGTACTAGAAGGATTCAGGAAGAAAAGGGGTCCTGTAGAGGGAAATCACATGTACGAGGAAGGAGGCTGTAAGGCTGTAGAATATTGGGACCTGTAGAATAAGGAGACCATTAACAAGAGACCTTTAAGAGGATGGGGTTGGCTGGGACTGGACATACAGGTGGAGAAGGACTTTAGGAGGATGGGCTCATGTAGAAGAAATGGGCCTGGAGGAGGAGTTGGCTGTAGGAGGTGGGAGTGAAGGAGACCTCTAGAAACAAGATAGGAAATTGGCCTATTGCTGTACAGAAAGGATATTGGGACCTATAGGATGAGGGGCCATTAGGTAGGGGATGTGTAGGCGGAAGGGACAGTAGGGTGACTTTAGGAGGAGATCTGTTTGAGGAGGAGACCTGTAGGATTAGGGGTCCCTATTAGAATAGCGTATGTAGTAGGAGGCTTGTGTGAGGAAGAACTTGTAGGAGGATGGGCCTGTAGAAGAACGGGACCTGTAAAGGAGTTGAGAGGAGAGAGGGGGAATGAAAAAGGAGACCTGTAGAAGGGTTCCTGTAGTTAAGGACTGTGGGATAGGAGAAAGAGGCTGTAGGATGTGGAATCTTGTAGGGAGGATGGGACTTGTTAGGATTGCGCGTGTAGGACAAGGTCCGAAGTACGAGGGGACCTGTAGAAAGGGGCTGTATGAATAGGTAGTCTATAGGGGAGATGGTCAGTATGATCAGGAGGCACGTAGGAGAAGGGCACCTGTGGAAGAGGTGGGCTGTATGCAGAGCGGGGCTGTAGGAGGAGATCTAAAGGAGGGCAAGGATTGCAGGAGTAGGAATTCAGAATGATTTGAATTGATAACTATCAGCCACCGACATGGTCACATTTTATTTTTAAAATTCAGACCTATACTTTGTCATTATATCATGGAAAAAATATAACTTTAAGGTTGTGTTTTTAATGATATCTTTCACATAAAGATTATGCTACATATTCATTATAGAAAGATATGATAAAGTATTTTGATAAATGAATATAATTTGCAGGAACTTTCTGTCCATATCTGTTCAGGACCATGTGCGATTTGAAGATTTCAGAAAGGCATCTGCACTGATTGACAGAATGAGAGAAGGATACATACTGACTAGTCTTCATAATAGATTTGCACCAACTAACCTGATGTTAGAGGGTGAGTCTGTACATGTTCTAACCTTGCTGTTGTCATTTTTTACTAGTCTTTGTTAACACTAAAGAGTCCATTCAGTCCATGTACATCGGTCCATCTGTTTAGTCATCATTCGTAAATTAATTTCAAATCCCATCTTTTGAAAACCCATTCAGTGTAGTATATAAAAAAACTGGTTGAGAGGTTACTTAGATGAGACCCAGTAATACTTCCTTGGTGGATAGGTTACTTACATGAGGCCCAGTAATGCTTCCTTAAAAAAAGACCTTAATTGAACCATATTTAAGTCACGGAAGTGTGATATATGCGAATTATATGTTTCAGAGTATGAAGCATACATGTATTGCATTTAAATTATCTTGACCAGTTATCAGGGTCAGAGGAATCAAATCCCATGTATTCTTCAATGTCATAGGGAAAAGTGTTTCCTTTAGAATGAGAATGTGATTTTCTGAAAAAGAGGTTTGTTTTAGGCAAAATGCAATATACAGCGAACTGTTGCTGCAAGTCTTATTCATCAGATTGCATGTTAAATCACATAGTGTTGAGGTCAAGGTCACACAACTAACTAAAGGGGATCATATGCTACATGTATACATGGCTGTCATACAGTAAATTACATTCACATTATGGTAATTTTCTCTTTGTTTTTAGGCCTCTTCAACAATATTAAGTATCAACAACACATCTTTGATCCAAGATATTGCATAAGGTAAATGATAATTGTACCGTCATTTAATTTGAAAAATCTACTATTTGTTAATAGCAAAATTCAATGAATACATTTAAATACAAGTCATACTTTTAAACCAGTTTCTTTTTCACGTTTGATGTTTTTTTCCAGTTCATTTATAGACATAAAATTTGGGATTAAAGATATGTTGTAATGTCATATTTCAATGATGTAAGATGCTATTAATTTCATATTTCTGTGGTTTTTGGATGCCTGTCATGTCATTTTTGGTTTATTTTTTATGTTTGTCATGTCATATTTTTGTGAGTACAGCTGGTTCTACCCACGTGACATGAGATTTGAGACAGCAGAACAAATTCTGAAAAAGCCTGGGCATCAAGAAGGAAGTTTCCTGGTTTGGAGAAGAAAGGCAGAGGATTTTTATAACTTAGGCACAATGTAAATTGCAGTAATAGTTTGTACTTAATCTTTTAATACCTGTTATTACATAGTGTCAGGGTACAAGTTATTGTGAGTATTCTAAGGGCTTCATTCTTTAATGGATTCTAATGAAACTGACACACTTATTAGGCATCAAAATATCTTGGACAAGATCAAGTTTAAGAGTTGTTAGGTCAAGGTCAACCAATGGGTCAAGATGTCCATTAACTTTTCTTCCTTTAAAAAAACACTATTCCTGCTTAACACCTGAGCACATTTTAACCAAATTTGTCTGAAAAGTTACTGAATTCAGAAAGTTGATTTGACCCCTAGGGACCTGGGGATGAGGCCCCAAAAGGGTATATAGACAATACTTTGCTACTCTTCCTTAATGCATGAATGGATTTCGTTTAAATTTTGTCTGAAACATCTGTAGCATTGGGCAATTAAATCTTCAATTCAGAAAGTTGATTTGACCTCTAGAAATCTGGGAGCAAGGTCCTAAATGGAAAAGTTAGTTAATAATTTTGCTTCAAAACTCTACTCGACCTAATGCTTAAATGAATTTCAACTAAATTTGGTCTGAAACATCATTGATTTTTATATTTATTTGTTGTAGTATTTTTATTAGAATTAGCTACAAATTAAATTTGTACATTTCTCATTCCCTAATGAACACCCAAACAGCATCGTCATTGTTGATCTGTAAAGTGTGATAGCTTGTGGGTTCCAGAAGGTTACATGGATTGCTCGAGCAGTACTTTGTGTGCTTGTTCGACAGTTCAGTTGACACTTGGTCCTTTGTTACCATATTTGATGAAAGACAATAAGTAAATTTGTATACAGTTCACATTATATATATAAATTGTATAATAGACATGCTACCTTACAGATTATAAACCCAACAAAATCAGTTAAGAAAAACATCTTTGATATGACGAGGAGTTAAGGAGGTATGCTACTTTAGCTATATGGATTGATAAAAAAAAAACTAAAAATCTTATGATGTTGGACACAAAGATCACTTTAGTTATTTCAGCAAAACTGATTTTGTTTCACATGTTGATGACCTAATATATGAGATTATTCTATATCAATGCATTTTCATTTGTGAATTATGACATTTACAATCTCTATTGTACTTTGTAGTTATGGAGGTAAAACCTTTCACTTGCGGATTGACATAACAGGGACCTTTTACAGCATTGAGAAAAGTGTAAAGTTTCCACTACTGGGAAGCTTGATTAAACATTATATGACTCACCCTCTTCCTCAACTAGGTGACCGGAGACTGAAATATCCAATTCCTGTCAATGTTCCTTCAACAGAACGGTAAGTAATTAAGATTTTGCTTAGTAGAGTTACTAGTCTCTGGGACTACATCGATAAGATTTAAAAAGCCTGCTATTTGGTAACTGACGGGTTTCAGAATATGACATATCGTCATTTTGCCATATTATCATATCTGCTAAATTACACTTTAACAGATACGGCTATGGGACTGTAATTTTGGAACATAGTTGTGTAATGATCAAATACAGGTCAAGTTTTGATTCATTTAAGGTTAACAATTTTTTTTCCAGAGTTATCCCCGTATTACTTAGGAAGCTTAGTTATATTTTTCATACAAATAGAATGACCAGAATTGCTGAGCCTTGCACATCTCTAGCAGAAATTAGAAAAAAAAGAAAAAGGAAGCAGAAAAGAAGCTCCGGTTGCTAATGGGGCATTCATGACGCTTCAAGAAATCTTATTTTGATTAAGCTCACATGCAATGGCTCTACTGCCCAGACATAAAATGTATTTTGGACTGTTTAACAACTACTTACACGTCATGTACTTTTTATCAGCATAATGTATTAAAAAAAAATTTAATGGCAATATTTTGTGTACAGTTGGTTCTACCCAAACATTTCACCAGCGGCATCTACACTACTACTTTCCATTTTTGGTGCTCAAGAAGATAGCTATATTGTTCGCTACTCTGTGGAAACTCCTGGATGCTGCGCTCTCATTATAAAGTAAGTTGTTTTCATCCTTATTCTACACTAAAAAAAGTTTTCTCCAAGTTGTAAACATTTTAAAAAGATTTTCTCCTTATTAGCATGTACTAATCTGAAGTTTGTTAGTTTTTAAATTGAAGTTGCTTTATTTGTTTGTCCACCATCTTAACTACAAGTCACAGAGTCCTAAAGTGATTTTAAACTGATGTCAGCTGGATTAATGTGATTGATACCGAGGCCTCATCAATGATTTTAGGATATATGATATGGTATGATCATGATTTCCCTCATTTCTACCTTTGTGCCAAGTAATATTAGTCTGTCCAGGGTAATACACCCAGGTTCACTGTTCTTGACAATGCGTTACATACCCATGTATTACACCGACATGCTTATGTATGCACATAGAAATGTGACTTGTATACATATTAGTGTTTAAGGAGATATGTGTGGTGTTTGTTTATATCTTGTTTTAATTTTCTAGGGCATTTTGTATGTCAATTTGTCAATTAATTGCATAATCAAAAATAGAATTTTTATGTAATATGGCGTCCTTTGCAGTACATTGTCGACATCTGAAGCTATTTCTATCAGTATTTAAGAATGAGCAATGATAGCAAAGTACTCTTTCATGTGTCAGGGTGAAGGATGGGACCCACGAGGTCACTAAATGTGGTAAAACCCTCGGTAGAACCTTCGGTTTTATGACATTTTGTGTAACCCCTCGGGTGCAATATCCTTATCCTACACTTTGATATATCAAAGAATTTATAATATTGATTGTATTTTCAATCCTCATTTTAGGAAAAATAACTGGATAGTTGCCATCAAGATTATACACAAACATGGTTTTTATTGTCTGAAGGGAGGGGAGGACAGTTCAGAAAGGTTCCGTAACCTGGACAAATTGATGGAATATTATGATCAGAACCCTATTTTCACCTCGAGAGGGGCCCTACACTGCAAACCATACACAATAAGGCATGAGTTTATAGCTGATAAGTTGTAAGTAATGCCATTCATGAAGGCCATACTGTATAGCTTGAATTGTTCATTGTAATTTGCTTAAATATTCCTATATTTTTCAGGAAATTTGTCGCTGATAAATAAAGAGATTTAAAATATATCTTTATATCTTTCCTACTGTGTTTGGCTTCTTTATATTAGAGAATTATTAAGTCTTTAACAGCATCACCAACCACCAGAAAATGATTTAGTGCATCTCTTTGTTGCCTGTATGGGCACCTTGCACAGCAGTACAACAGGATATTGGCCTTTTAGGTGCCCATTCAGGTGATGATGATGATGAGCTATGCAGCAGCTCTCTGTCTGGATTGTGATGCTGTTGAAGTGAATGGTTACTTTAAGGTAGTTTTTAACAATTGATTAATATAGAAACAGTAAGTGAAGGTAAGAATTGTTAGTATAAATGCCTTTGAATGAAATGATTCTCATTTGAAAAACTCTTATATTTTGCCTCAAAACTAGCAAAAACTCCTATATTTGTTGAAAAAAAACTCTTATATTTGTTGAAAAAAAATTCCTATATTCCTCCTATATTTTGAAGAAGACTTGGTTGACAGCCTGATATTTAGATATCAATGTAAAGAAATGAGTGGGATTGATTTTTGGGTCAAAAGGTCAACTATGCAGGGCACTGTTGCTAAAAAAAGTCTTTAGTCGTCAGATTTTGGTTTCCAGATTATAACTTCAGAAAGAATTGATGGTTTTGGTTGATCATTCATTAATGTGTAAGTCATCGTGTAACCTACCTGTGATTACAAATTTAAACAATGGAATAATTTTTTGTTATTCATATACATGAAGTTATCAAGACTATATTATTTTTAATTGTCCTGTGATCAAATGTAATTAGTCGTTGATATAAGTGATATTCCATATTTTACTATAGGCCTAAGTGTACTCAACATCCATGATAATTAATGTAAGATATTCCATTTTGTAATTTTATTTTACTATAGGCCTAAGTGTACTCAACATCCATGGGCACCACTTTTGTAATTAGTCGTTGATATAAGTGATATTCCATATTTTACTATAGGCCTAAGTGTACTCAACATCCATGGGCACCACTTTTGGTAGGGAATAACCAAGATGAGCTACTCTGTTTAATTTGCTCTGAAAAAGTGGAAAGGTAAGTAAAATGTCGGTTTCAAACACATTCTGACTACACATGCATGAAGTGACCACAGGTTGTGTGGATAATTTCCCTTATGTTTGTTATTTGTTCATGTCCTGAAGTTACTGTATAGTAATCATATGAGTGAAATGACTTTGTTTTTTTTGTCAATGTAGACATATCATTGCGAAGATGAAACTTGAAGGATATCGCAAGATTTTCAGTTGCTTGGATTCCGAGAACTTTTCTGTTGGTCTTCTAACAGGTAATCAGTATGAATTTATGCATTGCCTAATAAAAATGCTCTATTTGAGATATGGATAGATTTAATAAATGCAGTTAAACTAGAAGGCAACACCTTAAGGGGTTTCCCAGATGGAATGGGAGAAGAGAAGAATTTTCATTTAAAGAACAAAAAAGCTTCTTTCTTTTCAAGTTGCAATGAAACGATTTGATAGAAATTTACTGTTTAACATAATTAAAGGTAATTTAAATTTCATTAATTACTTTGCCCATTGGGATTTTCAATCTAGAATCTAAAGAAATCAAATGGTAATTGCCTTCATGAAAAAATAAAAGTTTCAACACATTTCAATATCTATGAGTGGAGAGACACAAATGTAAGATGTCAGGTTTTTTTGCCATGCACATGTGTGCAAGTCTGCATGATGACATCTGCAGAGAGTGACAGTCTGAAATGTCATATTTTGTCATTTGGAACCTTTGTTGGGTATGTTTCTATGAATCAGATGTATATCATTTAAATAAAAACTTATTGAAACAAGAATATGTTTCCATTGCAACTTCAGACTTTAGGTTTGTATTCCTCAGTTGTTGTTGTTGCTGTTGCTGTTGTTCTTCTTCAATCTTCTTCTTCTTCTTTCATCTTTGTCTTCTTCTTATTTTTTCGTCATTATCTTCTTCTTCTTTGTCTTCTTTTTCTTCTTATTCTTCTCTGTCTTCTTTTTCTTCATCATCTTCTTCTTTTCCTTCTTTTTCTTCATCATCTTTTTCTTTGTCTTCTTCTTTTTCTTCATCATCTACTTCTTCTTTGTCTTCTTCTTCTTTTTTCTTCATCATCTTCTTCTTCTCCTTCTTTTTCTTCATCTTCTTCTTCTTTTTCTTCTTCTTCTTCTTCTTTGTCATCTTCTTCTTCTTCTTTTCTTCATCATCTACTTCTTTGTCTTTTTCTTCATCATCTTCTTCTTTGTCTTCTTCTTCATCATCTTCTTTTTCTTTTTCTTCATCATCCTCTTCTTTGTCTTCTTCTTCATCTTCTTCTTTTTTGTCTTCTTTTTCTTCTTCTTTGTCTTCTTCTTCTTCATCTTCTTCTTCTTTTTCCACATCATCTTCTTCTTTGTCTTCTTCTTCATCATCTTCTTCTTCTTTGTCTTCTTTTTCTTCTTCTTTGACTTCTTCTTTTTCTTCATCATCTTCTTCTTTGTCTTCTTCTTCATCATCTTATTCTTCTTTGTCTTCTTTTTCTTCTTTGACCTCTTCTTCTTTTTCTGTCTTCTTTTTCTTCATTTTTTCTTCATCATCTTCTTCTTCTTTGTCTTCTTCATTTCTTCTTCTTCTTCTTCATTGTCTTCTTCTTCTTTGTCTTCTCTTTTTTTCTTCTTCTTCTTCTTTGTATTCTTCTTTTTCTTCATCATCTTCTTCTTTGTCTTCTCTTCTTCTTCTTTGCCTTCTTTTTTCTTCTTCTTCTTTCTTCTTCTTCTTTGTCTTCTTCTTCTTTTTCTTCTTCTTTGTCTTCTTCTTCTTCATCTTCTTCTTCTTTTTCTTCATCATCTTCTTCTTTGTCTTCTTCTTCATCATCTTCTTCTTCTTTGTCTTCTTTTTCTTCTTCTTCTTCTCTGTCTTCTTTTTCTTCACTTTTTCTTCATCATCTACTTCTTCTTTGTCTTTTTCTTCATCATCTTCTTCTTCTTCTTCTTCTTTTTCCTCTTCATTCGTCTTCTTCTTCTGCTTCCTTCTTCTTTGTATTTTTCTTCTTCCTCTCATTCTTCTTCTTGATGAAAATAAAAAATTTCAGAAAGATAATTATTCCTTTTAATAAATAAAAGTTTTGAACTGTTATCCAAGTCACCAAGTTCATCATGCACAGAGCTGTCTGAGATTAATCAATGACTGAAATAAGATTGATATTTCATTCTTGTTATCCAAGACACCAAGTTCATCATGCACAGTGCTGTCTGAGATTAATCCATGATTGAAATAAGATTGATATTTCATTCTTGTTATCCAAGTCACCAAGTTCATCATGCACAGTGCTGTCTGAGATTAATCAATGATTGAAATAAGATTGATATTTCATTCTTGTTATCCAAGTCACCAAGTTCATCATGCACAGTGCTGTCTGAGATTAATCAATGACTGAAATAAGATTGATATTTCATTCCGTTCATGGTATGCTTGTGTTACAGTGCAGCAACTGATTAGACAAGGGTCTGGTTTCAAAAGAAGCATGCTGGAGGACAGGGAACCAACTTTATGTAAATGATCTTAAATGCTAACAATATGACTTCTATTGCATGTAATGCTTCAGTTTGGATGCTAATTGATGTATTTTCATCTGTTTGTAGAAAGCAGTGTAAAATCTCTTCTCTATGACAAAGGTGTGCCGGAAGATGCTGTCTCCAAAATCTGGTAATTTAGCCTTGCCACATTATCTGATTGTCCTTAAACAAAAACCTGGTTATCACAAAGTTTGACAGTATATTGACATGGAAAATGTCCCTCATCCATATAATTAAAGACATGATTTAGATAAACTTCTGATGTTCTAGACTAGCGTGACAATCACTGTGTAGGTGAACTCTTAGAACTGTCTGTGTTCCTGCTTCAGGGAGCTTGCTGATGTAGATGGCGACAGTTTCCTGGATGAAGACGAGTTTTGTTTAGCCATGTACCTTGCAGATTTAGCACTATCTTACAAAATGTTGCCACAGGGTCTTCCTCCAACACTGATGCCACCATATGGAGTTGAAGGTAAGCTTTATAATACTTGCATATATAGAACAGGTATATCGTAAAACTCATGTGGATTTATGAAATATTGCTCAAAATCATTGAAGTTTCCTCTAGTTACAATGTATTTAAAAGTTTCCTCTAGTTACAATGTATTTAAAGATTTCCTCTAGTTACTGTGTATTTAAAGATTTCCTCTAGTTACAATGTATTTAAAGATTTCCTCTAGTTACAATGTATTTAAAAGTTTCCTCTAGTTACAATGTATTTAAAGATTTCCTCTAGTTACTGTGTATTTAAAGATTTCCTCTAGTTACAATGTATTTAAAAGTTTCCTCTAGTTACAATGTATTTAAAGATTTCCTCTAGTTACAATGTATTTAAAGATTTCCTTTAGTTACAATGTATTTAAAGATTTCCTCTAGTTACTGTGTATTTAAAGATTTCCTCTAGTTACAATGTATTTAAAGATTTCCTCTAGTTACTGTGTATTTAAAGATTTCCTCTAGTTACAATGTATTTAAAGATTTCCTCTAGTTACTGTGTATTTAAAGATTTCCTCTAGTTACTGTGTATTTAAAGATTTCCTCTAGTTACAATGTATTTAAAGATTTCCTCTAGTTACAATGTATTTAAAAGTTTCCTCTAGTTACAATGTATTTAAAGATTTCCTCTAGTTACAGTGTATTTAAAGATTTCCTCTAGTTACAATGTATTTAAAGATTTCCTCTAGTTACTGTGTATTTAAAGATTTCCTCTAGTTACAATGTATTTAAAAGTTTCCTCTAGTTACAATGTATTTAAAGATTTCCTCTAGTTACAATGTATTTAAATATTTCCTTTAGTTACAATGTATTTAAAGATTTCCTCTAGTTACTGTGTATTTAAAGATTTCCTCTAGTTACAATGTATTTAAAGATTTCCTCTAGTTACTGTGTATTTAAATATTTCCTCTAGTTACAATGTATTTAAAGATTTCCTCTAGTTACTGTGTATTTAAATATTTCCTCTAGTTACAATGTATTTAAAGATTTCCTCTAGTTAGAGTGTATTTAAAGATTTCCTCTAGTTACAATGTATTTAAAAGTTTCCTCTAGTTACAATGTATTTAAAGATTTCCTCTAGTTACAGTGTATTTAAAGATTTCCTCTAGTTACAATGTATTTAAAGATTTCCTCTAGTTACTGTGTATTTAAAGATTTCCTCTAGTTACAATGTATTTAAAGATTTCCTCTAGTTACTGTGTATTTAAAGATTTCCTCTAGTTACAATGTATTTAAAAGTTTCCTCTAGTTACAATGTATTTAAAGATTTCCTCTAGTTACAATGTATTTAAAGATTTCCTCTAGTTACTGTGTATTTAAAGATTTCCTCTAGTTAGAGTGTATTTAAAGATTTCCTCTAGTTACAGTGTATTTAAAGATTTCCTCTAGTTACAGTGTATTTAAAGATTTCCTCTAGTTACAATGTATTTAAAGATTTCCTCTAGTTAGAGTGTATTTAAAGATTTCCTCTAGTTACTGTGTATTTAAAGATTTCCTCTAGTTACAATGTATTTAAAGATTTCCTCTAGTTACAATGTATTTAAAGATTTCCTCTAGTTACTGTGTATTTAAAGATTTCCTCTAGTTACTGTGTATTTAAAGATTTCCTCTAGTTACAATGTATTTAAAGATTTCCTCTAGTTACTGTGTATTTAAAGATTTCCTCTAGTTAGAGTGTATTTAAAGATTTCCTCTAGTTACAGTGTATTTAAAGATTTCCTCTAGTTACAGTGTATTTAAAGATTTCCTCTAGTTACAATGTATTTAAAGATTTCCTCTAGTTAGAGTGTATTTAAAGATTTCCTCTAGTTACTGTGTATTTAAAGATTTCCTCTAGTTACAATGTATTTAAAGATTTCCTCTAGTTACAATGTATTTAAAGATTTCCTCTAGTTACTGTGTATTTAAAGATTTCCTCTAGTTACTGTGTATTTAAAGATTTCCTCTAGTTACAATGTATTTAAAGATTTCCTCTAGTTACAATGTATTTAAAGATTTCCTCTAGTTACTGTGTATTTAAATATTTCCTCTAGTTACAATGTATTTAAAGATTTCCTCTAGTTACTGTGTATTTAAAGATTTCCTCTAGTTACAATGTATTTAAAGATTTCCTCTAGTTAGAGTGTATTTAAAATTTTCCTCTAGTTCCATTGTATTTAAAAGTTTCCTCTAGTTCCATTGTATTTAAAGATTTCCTCTAGTTTCAGTGTATTAAAGATTTCCTCTAGTTACAGTGTATTTAAAGATTTCCTCTAGTTCCAATGTATTTAAAAGTTTCCTCTAGTTACAATGTATTTAAAGATTTCCTCTAGTTACAGTGTTTTTAAAGATTTCCTCTAGTTACTGTGTATTTAAAAATTTCCTCTAGTTACAATGTATTTAAAAGTTTACTCTAGTTACAGTGTTTTTAAAGATTTCCTCTAGTTACTGTGTATTTAAAACTTTCCTCTAGTTACAGTGTATTTAAAGATTTCCTCTAGTTACAATGTATTTAAAAGTTTCCTCTAGTTACAATGTATTTAAAGATTTCCTCTAGTTACAATGTATTTAAAGATTTCCTCTAGTTACAGTGTTTTTAAAGATTTCCTCTAGTTACAGTGTATTTAAAACTTTCCTCTAGTTACAGTGTATTTAAAGATTTCCTCTAGTTACAGTGTATTTAAAGATTTCCTCTAGTTACAGTGTATTTAAAGATTTCCTCTAGTTACAATGTATTTAAAATTTCCTCTAGTCAATGTATTTAAAAGTATCCTCTAGTTACAATGTATTTAAAGATTTCCTCTAGTTACAGTGTATTTAAAGATTTCCTCTAGTTCCAATGTATTTAAAAGTTTCCTCTAATTCCAATGTATTTAAAAGTTTCCTCTAGTTACAAAGTATTTAAAAGTATCCTCTAGTTACTTGGTATTTAAAAGTTTCCTCTAGTTCCATTGTATTTAAAAGTTTCCTCTAGTTACTGTGTATTAAACTTTCCTCTAATTCCAATGTATTTAAAACTTTCCTCTAGTTACAATGTATTTGAAAGTTTCCTCTGTTTACAGTGTATTAAAGTTTCCTCTAGTTACAATGTATTTAAAAGTTTCCTCTGTTTACAGTGTATTAAAGTTTCCTCTAGTTCCAATGTATTTAAAAGTTTCCTCTAATTCCAATGTATTTAAAAGTTTCCTCTAGTTCCATTGTATTTAAAAGTTTCCTCTAGTTACTGTGTATTTAAAAGTTTCCTCTAGTTACAATGTATTTAAAAGTTTCCTCTAATTCCAATGTATTTAAAAGTTTCCTCTAGTTACAAAGTATTTAAAAGTATCCTCTAGTTACTGTGTATTTAAAAGTTTCCTCTAGTTACAATGTATTTAAAAGTTTCCTCTAGTTACCAATGTATTTAAAAGTTTCCTCTAGTTACAATGTATTTAAAAGTTTCCTCTAGTTACTGTGTATTTAAAAGTTTCCTCTAGTTACTTGTATTTAAAAGTTTCCTCTAGTTCCATTGTATTTAAAAGTTTCCTCTAGTTACTGTGTATTTAAAAGTTTCCTCTAGTTACTGTGTATTTAAAGATTTCCTCTAGTTACAAAGTATTTAAAAGTTTCCTCTAGTTACTGGGTATTTAAAATTTTCCTCTAGTTCCACTGTGTATTTAAAAGTTTCCTCTAGTTACAAAGTATTTAAAAGTTCCTCTAGTTACTGTGTATTTAAAAGTTTCCTCTAGTTCAGTGTATTTAAAAGTTTCCTCTAGTTACAAAGTATTTAAAAGTTTCCTCTAGTTCCAATGTATTTAAAAGTTTCCTCTAATTCCAATGTATTTAAAAGTTTCCTCTAGTTACGGTGTATTTAAAAGTTTCCTCTAATTCCAATGTATTTAAAAGTTTCCTCTAGTTACTGTGTATTTAAAAGTATCCTCTAGTTACTTGGTATTTAAAAGTTTCCTCTAGTTCCATTGTATTTAAAAGTTTCCTCTAGTTACTGTGTATTTAAAAGTTTCCTCTAGTTACCAGTTACAAAGTATTTAAAAGTTTCCTCTAGTTCCATTGTATTTAAAAGTTTCCTCTAGTTACTGTGTATTTAAAGATTTCCTCTAGTTACAGTGTATTTAAAAGTATCCTCTTGTAACTGGGTATTTAAAATTTTCCTCTAGTTCCATTGTATTTAAAAGTTTCCTCTAGTTACAGTGTATTTAAAAGTTTCCTCTAGTTCCAATGTATTTAAAAGTTTCCTCTAGTTCCAATGTATTTAAAACTTTCCTCTAATTCCAATGTATTTAAAACTTTCCTCTAGTTACAATGTATTTAAAACTTTCCTCTAGTTACTGTGTATTAAAGTTTCCTCTAGTTACTGTGTATTAAACTTTCCTCTAGTTACTGTGTATTAAAGTTTCCTCTAGTTACTGTGTATTAAAGTTTCCTCTAGTTACTGTGTATTAAAGTTTCCTCTAGTTACTGTGTATTTAAAGATTTCCTCTAGTTCTTATGCATTTAAGAAGGTTAAATTGAAGATGTTTGGCTCATTTCCTGTTGATTTTATGAAAATGGGATATGATTTTTGAAAGGTACTAGATTGACAGCTAGGTAGTGTAATATATTCACTACTTGAGAGTATGAAAACAATGGTTAAATGGTTTCTTCCAACAGAAGAAAAAAATTTACCAGAAGAGATCCTGCAGATGGACCAGCGCTCCATAAGACTGTATCGAGAGTGTCTTGAAGATCAGGAGGAGGCTGACTATCACATTAGGGTGGTCGTGATTGGTCAAACAGGGGTTGGTAAGACAACACTGACGCACAATCTCCTGAAGCCATCGGGAATGAGACCATCTGAGAAAACCATGAGTACGGATGGAGTTGAAATTCACAACAGTTTTGTGTCCCTCAGTGATAACAGCTGGATAACAGACGACTCTGGTAAGTCTTTAACCAACTCCGGTATGTCTTTATCCAGCTCTGGTGTGTCTTAGTATGTCTTTTTCTGACTCTGAGATGCCTTAATCTGGTTCTGGTATGTCTTTATCTGAGTATGATATATCTTTACCTGGTTCTGATATATCTTTATCTGAGTCTGATATGTCTTTATCTGACTCTGATATGTCTTTATCTGAGTCTGACATGTCTTTATCTGACTCTGATATATCTTTATCTGAGTCTGACATGTCTTTATCTGACTCTGATATGTCTTTATCTGACTCTGATATGTCTTTATCTTACTTTGATATGTCTTTATCTGAGTCTGATATGTCTTTATCTGACTCTGATGTATCTTTATCTGAGTCTATGTTCTTATCTGACTCTGATGTATCTTTATCTGAGTCTGATATATCTTTATCTGATTCTGATATATCTTTATCTGAGTCTGATATGTCTTTATCTGAGTCTGATATGTCTTTATCTGACTCTGATATATCTTTATCTGAGTCTGATATGTCTTTATCTGAGTCTAATATGTCTTTATCTGACCGATATGTCCTTATCTGACTGATATGTCTTTATCTGACTTTGATATATCTTTATCTGACTCTGATATATCTTTATCTGACTCTGATATGTCTTTATCTGACTTTGATATGTCTTTATCTGACTCTGATATATCTTTATCTGATTCTGATATGTCTTTATCTGACTCTGATATATCTTTATCTGAGTCTGATATGTCTTTATCTGATTCTGATATGTCTTTATCTGACCGATATGTCTTTATCTGACTTTGATATATCTTTATCTGAGTCTGATATGTCTTTATCTGAGTCTGATATGTCTTTATCTGATTCTGATATGTCTTTATCTGACTGATATGTCTTTATCTGACTTTGATATATCTTTATCTGACTCTGATATATCTTTATCTGACTCTGATATGTCTTTATCTGACTCTGATGTATCTTTATCTGAGTCTGATATATCTTTATCTGAGTCTGATATGTCTTTATCTGAGTCTGATATGTCTTTATCTGATTCTGATATGTCTTTATCTGACTTTGATATATCTTTATCTGATTCTGATATGTCTTTATCTGACTGATATGTCTTTATCTGACTTTGATATATCTTTATCTGATTCTGATATATCTTTATCTGACTCTGATATATCTTTATCTGACCCTGATATATCTTTATCTGACCCTGATATATCTTTATCTGACTCTGATATATCTTTATCTGACCCTGATATATCTTTATCTGACCCCCTGATATATCTTTATCTGACCCTGATATATCTTTATCTGACCCTGATATATCTTTATCTGACCCTGATATATCTTTATCTGACCCTGATATATCTTTATCTGACCCTGATATATCTTTATCTGACCCTGATATATCTTTATCTGACCCTGATATATCTTTATCTGACCCTGATATATCTGATGTATCTTAATCTTACTCTGGTATGTCAAGATCTGATTCTGATTTAATTATATCTGATCAATTATAAGAAATTTATTAATCATGATAAAACAGCATGATGAATGTGATTTGTCTTTATCTCAATGTTAACTTATAGAAAATATTTATAACAAGTTTGTTAATAAAGAGGTGAAGTTATCAAAATTCCACACATTGAAACAGCTACCAGGTATGATGGTTTATAGTTAATTGTGATTTTCAACTTAAAAGATTTAGTTATTCTTGACCAGAAGAATATTATTGAATTGATAATCTTTGAGATAAATTTTAACTTGTTTTCAGTTTAAGAATTCAAAAGAAAGTTTTATTTACTACAGAAATGAAGAAAGCAAACAAATCCCATGATGCAAAACTGATAAAGTTGTTTCGTAGTTCAGCTTCTCTGGAAAGTGAACCGTCATCCACTTCCTTGGAGGTAGATGAAGACGTAGAGGATGACTTGACAGGTGATGACCAGACATATGTATCGCCAGAAAGTGCTTCCAAATCTGATGATATCAGCTTCACTCTTGATGATTCTGACACTGTTGATGCTCCTACAGGGACAGTTACTGGAGTTAGGTCCCCTTTACATATTGTCACAGATTCATTGTCAGCATGCAAAGAGTTTCTGCAAACAGTTCACTCGTTTGAGAAAGCAAAATTAAGACCAAGCACTCCTGCCATGGACCAGGGTCAAGCTAAAGGTGACCCTTTCTTCAACACTGTGAGAAATCTTGTGATGTCAAATAAAGATTCTGTTGCAGATCTGGAAGATTCAGTGAGTAGATCTGATTGTAACGATAAAGAAATATTCTCTTTGATTCTTCATAACATTGAGATTTAGGAGCTGTTTTAGGGATCATAATTTACATACCTCTATACAAAAGTGTTCAGATGATAATGACTTTGTGGAATTGTCAAAAAAATCCTTTTGAAATTTAAGGAACATTGTCTTAAACAACTTGAGAGCTATCCTTAGGCTATATATATATAGCAGCACTAGCACAGAATCCTAGCTGTGACATTGAAATGATGACCTCTGTTGCATGATGTTAACCATAATAAGTCACATGTAACCCAAAATGGTTGAACGAAAGAAATGACAGTGAGATACTGTACTGTGACTTTGTAATGATTTTTTGTTAATAGAACTACGGAGAACTGTCTGTATGGGACTTTGCTGGTCAGTTTGTCTTCTACACAACTCATCACACTTTCCTGACCCCTCGGGCGGTGTATCTTCTTGTAACTAGACTTGATCAAAACATCAACGACCCTGTAGACAATGATCAGTGTGCTCTCGACATCACTGGCTGCAGGGTATTGAAAATCAGAGGTGAGTTTAACTATACTAGAAACTGAAGAATAAATTAGTATAACAGGTTTATTATATCCTTCACTAACTTAGGGGAGAATATTTTCAGTTACATAGCACACTTATGTTCTACCTAGACATCTGAATTCAATTTTCCAATCGGATGTGAAAAGATGCATTATTGTATAGGGTACCTGTCCAGTCATATAGGTTTGCCTTGGATGCTTCAGACAAAGTCTCAAGGTGACATATTCTAATACCCTTCATACAGTATCCTGTGTTGTGCATCCGTAATCAATTTAACACTTTTGACTTCTTCTCAAAAACCCCTGATCCAATTGTAAAGAAATTTTGCAGAAAGTTTCCTTGGCCTAAGATGAACCATAATTGTGAATTATACAGTCCCCACCTCCCAGGGGCCTGAAGGATGGGACCAAAAGGGATCAAATTGACTCAGATTTCAATAATCTTCTTCTCAAGACCCTGATATGGTAGAATCAAATACTCTTCATGAATGGAAGCATCTTAAGGTTCTTTACCAAAATTGTGAATTTCATGGCCCCAGGGTTTCGCATTTCCCCGTTTATATATAGGAAAACTAGATTTTTGAGCATAATTTGTTTAATTTCGATTGGAAATATTTCAAACTTGGTTAGAATTATGAATGAAGGATGACGCCTTGATGGTATGCCCATTTTGATCCTGTCTAACCCCAGGGGGTGATGGATGTGGCCAAAAGGGGTCAAATTGACTTGAACTTCAAAAATCTTCTTCTCAATATCCAGATATTGTATAATCAAATGCTTTTTATGAATGGAAGCCTCGTAAGGTGATTTCATTACCAAAGTGAGGCTCACATTTCTTCCTTGGGAGAATTTTTTTTTTTAGACTTTACTGTTATAACATTGGTTATTTCCCACTGGAAATAACTTTATAAGAATTATCAGTATAGGATGACAGTTTTGATGGTATGCATGTAATGACACTGTCTATATTCAGTGTCACAATCTCTGTTTCATGACACTTGATAACTATCCTTTAACCTTTATATTCAATATTGCTTATCTCAGGTGACCACCAAGGCTTGTTATCTATATAGTAGCCCCTACACATAGTATCTTTGTATTTGATAAAATACTATAAATTATGTAGTACATTAATATGTAAACATTTCATATACTTTGACTCTGCATCCAAACACATGAATGTCTAAAGAATGAAATATATGTTGTGATGCTTATATACATGTATATATAACAACACAGCTTTAAGTTGATGTCATCGATCCTTGTGATGACATTCATTTATAGTCCTAAGGACTCTCTGCAGGTGAGCTGATTGTAACCCTGATAAAATGCTAGCCACACTATACCACTCGGCTAGAGAGAATTTCTCTTTAGCTCAATTAGTTGAGCATCAGACTAGTAAGCCAGAGGTTCTGGGGTTCGAATCCTGGTGAGGCATTGAAATAATAATGACCCCAGTTACATTGCTGCCCATGTAGGCACTCAGGAATAATATTTTGCATTACATTACTTTAAAAAATGTCACTGTAACCTGAAAGGATGAGTTATTCCCTGGAGAGTGAGTATGTAACCCTAGTAAAATACCAGCTGCTTGGCTAGAGAGAATTTCTCTTTAAGGTCGATTCATTGAGCACCAGACAAGTAAGCCAGATGAATCCTAGCTGTGACATTGAAATGATGACCTCTGTTGCATGATGTTAACCATAATAAGTCACATGTAACCCAATAAGTATCAGTATCAAATAGTGTTATGTTCAAAGAACAGATGTTATATTTATTGACGCGGACTATGTACTTCACTATCAAACTTCTACAGCTGGTCTTATGTAGAATTTGTTTGTAAAAGCAATATGTGTTATTGGACTAAACACCATTCCTAGAAACATTGAATGCTAACTTGTTACCTTTGTACGACAGATTTAATATCCTATTGGATGAACTCTGTCCACACCTACAGCCAAAGTGCTGAGCACCTGCCACCTGTGATACTTGTGGGAACACACCTGGACAAAGTTGAGGTATATCTGTATAGTATAATAACTGATGGCTCCAGTACAAAACCTACATGTTATCATCATGATCAATATGATAAATAGATTAGTATGAGTAATCCTAAAAAAACATGAATTAACTAGAGAAGATTTAACAAGCACTTTCACCTCTTGTGAAGAACTTCAGGGAAATATATATATGTAGACAAAGACTTTGAAGAGGGTGAGGGTAGTATACCTGGTAGTTTTGCTGGTATCAACTTTCATTTCACCAGTGTCACATTTATGAGCAGCAGTGTTTTTTTTTCGTTTTTTTTTTTTTATATCATATTAGATAAATATTGCAGACTCATTGACTTTTGTGACATTTGGGTTTAAAAATGGGTTTCTTCAAGACTTTGTTTATATGTTTTTGAGCACGTGAATTAAGCAAGTGCTCTTTCAAAGTCCTCCAGCAAGTCAGTAGTGACTGCCACTGTGAAGTGGTTGTTGACTGGTATATGGCTGGAGCTTCACCCATTTTGTCATTATAGCTGTGTTGTAATTGATTGTTATTAGGGAGATGTTGAAAAGAAGACAAAATCCTACTTTGAGGAGCTGAGGAAATATCTGTTGGAGAAGCCCACTTCTCGTCATCTGATTGACCAAGACTTTACAGTTTCAAAAACACCCAATGAACTAGACATTGAATGCCTACAACAGAAAATTGTGGAACTTGCCTCAAAGCAGAAATACTGGGGAGAGAAAATTCCTGCCAGATGGATTGCTCTGGAAAAAGTCATGATGGAACAAAAACTGAAAGGAGTTAGTGTACTGTCCTATGAAGAGGTTGTAGAGCTGGACAAAAAGACCGGAGTTCCAATCCATGACCAAGAGAAACTTGATCTATTTCTTCGGTTCCAGCATGCCATTGGAAATATAATCTACTTCAGTGAAGGATGTCTAAGGAACCACATAGTTCTCAATCCACAATGGCTAATAGATGCCTTCAAATGTATCATTACAGCTCGTCAATTTTGCATTGAGAACCCAGCTTTGGTGCAGCATTGGGATGCCCTCAACAGCACTGGAAGGCTTCACCAGTCTATGGTAGAAGAAATTTTCAGAAAAGATGCCAGGTTCTGTCCACTCAAAGAACATGTACTGGGTCTGATGGAACGTCTTGATATCTTAAGCCGCCCATCTGTTTATGAAGATGCTGAAAAGAATCACCCAACATTACAGGAGTTCTACTTTGTGCCATCATTGCTGCAGGACAAACTTACCGATTGCCTCTTGAATCGCTACATCTGTCGCACAAACAGAACCCCTTTTCTATGTTTTGTCTTCAAAAACAATTTCCTGCCACCTGCTGTGTTCCATCGCCTCCTTGCTGCTTGTCTCTCTAAATACCCAGTGGCAAAACAGGGAAACCAACTCCTGATGTTCTGTGGCTGTGGCATCTTTGATCTGAATCATGGACTAACACGTCTTGTGGTGGCTTTCTATGACAACATCATTCAAATTGGACTTTTTAGATACAGTGAGAAAAACCTTGCCCCAGAAGCTTCTCTTTGTGAATCTGTGCAGAAATTTGTAACAGAGACCCTGAAGCGTGTCCTTGGTCGATACTGTATGAACCTACCATTCACACTGAGCTTGAAGTGTGAACAAAGTCAACTGTTGTCTAATGAGGGCCTACTGTCTGTGGAAGACCTGACATCAGGAGGGGACAAGATAGTGTGTCATGGCCATGACACTAAAAGTCATATAATCGACAGGCAGCGTCACCTACAGTCTTGGTTTCCAGATAAGGTATTGCATCACTACAGGTCAAATTAATTATAGTACTGATAGAAAGTTTTATAACATGGAACAGATGCCTCTATTTTATACAAATAATTGAACTATCTCTGACTCAAGTCAATCTTTCTACATCCAAGATGAAACACTCATATCTATAAATGCACAATGTACCTCTTAGTCTGTTAGATACCCACAACTCCAGCAATATCTCTATATCAAACAGTTATCTTCAACTCAAACAGATATAATGATATGTAACTGAAAAATCTCACTCAAATAAATGCCCCTCACTCAAACAGATACACCAAACTCAAACTGATACCCCAACCTCAAACAGATACCCCAACCTCAAACAGATACACCAAACTCAAACAGATACCCCAACCTCAAACTGATACTCCAACCTCAAACTGATACCCCAACCTCAAACTGATACCCCAAACTCAAACAGATACCCTAACCTCAGATTCCCAGCATTCTAACAGATACCTAGAACACAAACAAATATCTCTTAACTGAAAAAGATCTCTCTGACACAAACAGATATCTCTCACTCAGATATATGCCCCTCACTCAAACAGATACCCCAAACTTAAACAGATACCCCAACCTGAAGTAGATACTTGGAGTTCTAACAGATGTCTATCACTCAAATATATACCACTGATAGACAAAACCCAACAAATAAACAGAACTTAGACAGATTTATCTAACTCAAATTGATACCCAGATCTCTAATGGATATCCAGATCCCCTTACTCAAACTCAAACCCTTACTCAAACTCAAACCCTTACTCAAACTCAAACCCTTACTCAAACAGATAAGCCTTATTCAAACAGATAAGCCTTACTCAAACAGCTAACTTACTCAAACAGATAACTTACTCAAACATATAAGCCTTACTCAAACAGCTAACTTACTCAAACAGATAACTTACTCAAGCAGATAAGCCTTACTCAAACAGCTAACTTACTCAAACAGATAACTTACTCAAGCAGATAAGCCTTACTCAAACAGCTAACTTACTCAAACAGATAACTTACTCAAGCAGATAAGCCTTACTCAAACAGCTAACTTACTCAAACAGATAACTTACTCAAGCAGATAAGCCTTACTCAAACAGCTAACTTACTCAAACAGATAACTTACTCAAACAGATAAGCCTTACTCAAACAGCTAACTTACTCAAACAGATAACTTACTCAAACAGATAAGCCTTACTCAAACAGCTAACTTACTCAAACAGATAAGCCTTACTCAAACAGATAAGCCTTACTCAAACAGCTAACTTACTCAAACAGATAAGCCTTACTCAAACAGATAACTTACTCAAACAGATAACTTACTCGAACAGATAACTTTCTTAAACAGAAAGCCCTTATTTTGTGTATTTGACTTTTTTCAGATTCCAAGTACTGACACCAATCTTGATGGCATATGTGAGTAATTAAGAAGACCTATATATATGTATATATATATATATATATATATATATATATGAGATTCAATTTTCAAATCTTTTAAAAAGCATTTTCCCATAGTAGTAAAAAAGATTATGGAATGTTAAAATAAAAGGTTGATTAGGTATAATTTTTATAAAGTTAGTTTATGGCTTGATGTATTTATGTTTTGTCCTGTCCCATAATCACACACTAGTTCTATCAGTCTCATTTCTGTAAGAATTTTGTTCAGAACGACTAAGAACAAAATTCTTACAAATATGAAACAAAGTCACATTCTAGATCTATTCATAGAAAATCAATTCTGCAAACTTTTCTTGACAGATTTCAGAATATAACTTCCATATAAAACAATGAATGTTGTTTCCAGAGGATCTTAAAAGTCGTTCTTAGATTATCTAGTGGTATTTAGATAACCCAGGCAAGGTTATTGATTTTAAAGTTACCATGTCATTATGCGGCAGTAAGCCTGTGTTTGGTAACAATTTATTTTTATTACTGTTCAGTAAATTTACAAAGAAATGATATCTCTCTGTCCTTGTATAGCAGAGTCACTCAACATATTTATGTCAAACTTTCTAGTTTTTTGTGCCCATGGGTTATCTCAAGATAAAAATCTGGCATTTTTAATTAAAAAAAGAATTGATTAACTTCATGTGTTAAGATTAAATCATTCTCCCATATTTGAGAGATGCATTCTGGTTTTCAGTAGGAAAAAGATAAATCTGTGTTTTCCATGCTGTAGGGTAACTATGTTGCAAATTGATTTACGCCATCAATTTAGGTGTAGATTTCATTGGATAATGAGGATTGCTTGCAATAGATTTGAAAACAAGTGACAAATTGCTCATATGTTTTGGGTTTTTGAGAAAATTCATCAAACATGGGTCTGTTCCATAGACAGAGATATCTCAACCAAATTGAAAGAATTTGGCTGGTCTGCACTCCAGCCTCATTCTGACCAGTCAGCACTCCAGCCTCATTCTGACCAGTCAGCACTCCAGCCTCATTCCCACCAGTCAGCACTCCAGCCTCATTCTGACCAGTCAGCACTCCACCCTCATTCTGACCAGTCAGCATTCCAGCCTCATTCTGACCAGTCAGAACTCCAGCCTAATTCTGACCAGTCAGCACTCCAGCCTCATTCTGACCAATCAGCACTCCAGTCTCATTCTGACCAGTCAGAACTCTAGCCTCATTCTGACCAGTCAGAACTCTAGCCTCATTCTGACCAGTCAGCACTCCAACCTAATGTTGACCTGCCAGCCCTCAAGCCTCATTTTGACCAACCTGAGCCTCTAACACTCAGGTTGATATATCCCTGTCCATGGAATTAAAATCCAGGTAAGATTTTATTGTTCCTTGATGTTTTAATATTTGTTATACAGGTGATCAGTTCACATCGGTCAGCTTTGGACACCTGGATACCATTCCAGAGGATGCAGAACTCAATCGGATTTCTGCAAAAATTGGGAAAGAATTTGAAACTCTTGCTGGTTTTTTGGGATTGGATAATGCAGAGATCTTCCAGATTCGATCCAATCATCAGTTTGATACCAGATCACAGATCTATCACATCTTAGTCCAATGGAAACAGAAATCAGGAAAGAACGCTACATATCAATGTTTAGAAGAAGCTTTCAAAAATTCTGACATCAATGTTGATATTCTCTCTGGACCATAAATCTCAGATGAAAACGGAAATGAGAAAGACTGCTACATGAATCAGTGCTAAGAAGAAGCTGATTTTTATTGAAATCCTCTTAAGACCCGGACTCTCAAACAACATTTGATGTACGGTTAGTAAACAGTTAACTTTACCTAACAATGCTTACAGCTGTATTAAAAACAGATCGTTGTAGAAAAAAATCCATCTTTCTGTTCATGGTGATTAGGCGTTATTTAGGGTTGACATAAATTTGAAAGGTGATGAATTTATTTGATTTAGGAGCAGTTCATGTGCCATTAAGAACTTTTCTTGTTGTGTATTGTATCAATTTTAGCCCACCATCAGCAGACAGGTAATCTAACCTACGTTCCTGGTCCGTTGTCTATGATCCACTCATTGTCATTGACTGTGAACAATTCCTGTTATCACTATTTTTTGAGTAGATCTCCATGGATCTTTCTCGAATTTCATATCTAGCCCCCTGTTGTGCCTTTTTGAATTTAGCAGACTGATCAGAAAAAAATATAATGGCTGACAAGTGACTATCGCAGTTAGATATTATCAGCACTTTTTTGTAAGAAGAGTTTTCAACTTTCATGTAAAAAGAGCAACTGGTGGGTGCCAAGATCCCTTCAGAGGATCTTTTGTTTATACAAGCCCAGTTTATCGAACGGTTGTAAATTTTTGGGATTTACAAAGTGCCTTCAGTAATCTTACATGTCTTTTAACAAGCTACATATGCATGTTTAATGAGATTTTTACTCGCATAGATTTTATATGTGCATTTGTCCTCATACATTTGGTAATGTAGAGCAATTTTATGATGCTGTCTGGCCTGTAGTAACATTTCCATAACGTTGTCCACAAAATCAGCTGGCACATGGTTCACAATAAGCCATATGTCTAACATCAATAAACAGAAATACTGTTATTACACCTTACCATTGATACCCTTATCTCCTTTTATGTTATTAATTGTGATACATTATGTGGTGGTAGCCACAGGGAGAATGTTGTTACATTCCCCCCCCCCCCCTTTTTTTTTTTGCATGATGCAACAAGGTAGTAACTTTTTTTTCTTATTAACTGTGTTTTTTTCGTTTATTACCAGGTAGAGGTAAGATTTAACCAGTGGTCAGTGAAAAATCAAATTCTTGCTTCTCAGGACATTAAATGTGTTAAAGACAAAATTAAAACTCCAAATTTATCCTTCTGTCATGCCTCAACAAATCTATGGGAGGTGTCCTGAAGAAGCATGAGAGGGCAAAACCGGTCGACAACAGAGAACTTAGGAACCATATCTCTTTACCTGTTGTAATTGGTATTAAAGATCTACAGAATCAAGAAGAATTTTTACAACTTTAATGAATTTGTCTTTAAAAATATTTTCACTAACCACTGAGTATCTCTAACCAGCCTTATGAACAACCAGGCTGGAACAATGTAATACCCTAGATGGCAATCAAGCCAGAACATATCAATGAAACACATTTCCAATGTTGATATTCTCATTTAGTTATATAGATATATACATATACATGATACGTTTGCAAATTGTAAAATAACTCTTGTCTTGGAATGTACAATATTTTATAGATTTTTATGATGCTCATCGCCTCTGTCCTTCTTTCTGTTTTTTTTACCAACTGTCATCAGATGGTGCATCCATTGTCCATTTGTCATTAAGCAATTCTTGTTATCATTATTTCTTGAGAAATACTGAACGGATAATTTGCAATTTTTTCGCGGGTTCTCCTTGGTCCCAGTAGTTGTGCGTTGTCCAATTTTTTGCCTGATCAGCATTTTGATTCCGATTGTATTTTTCAATTACCTTACTGTTCCAAGACATGCCAGTGTATACCAGCATGGTGACAGTTTTACAAAACTTACTCATGAATTATCTAATGTAAGTCCGCATTTTTACCAAATTGTTCATATGTCTACATATACCTGCTAAAATCAGTGTAACAGACTTGTTAAATATATATTTTTTTATGTACATGTATATATAGTAATAAAGCAGTAGTTGTTACATTTTTCACGAGGCGGTTTATTACCTTAATAGCTCTAACAAGTGGCATCACTGTAAATTCGGAATGATAATCCATAGAGTTTTGGCCTCTCAATTACCAAAATAGTGTCTGCTTGGTATCACAGGCATTTTCCAATAGATCAACTTCATACTTCATAGAAAGATTTGATACAACGATAGGACTGACTCGTTTTGTCACCGAATCTGAAGTGAATACTTGTACTTTTTTGTATTTTTAGGTCATCTGACGTGAAGGGTCAAGATGACCTATTGCTGTTGTGCATTGTCTATTCTCCAATGTCTGTAACCTTTTCCTTTAAAACACTACTCCTTTTTAACATCTCTGTGGATTTCAACCTATCAAATTTTGTCTGAAAGATTACTGAGGATGGGGAATCATTTCTTAAATTCAGAAAGTTGATTGGACCCCTAGGGACTTGGGGCGGGGCCCTAAAAGGGGAATTGGACAATATTTTGATTCAAAAGACTACTACTTAATGCCAGGGTAGATTTGAACCAAATTAGGTCTTAAACATTATTGCAGGAGGCTTATCATTTCTAAAATTCAGAAAGTTGATTTGTTTCTTAGGGACCTAGGGGTGGGGCCCAAATGGGGAAGTTAGGTAAAATTATGCTTTAAAAAGCTACACTTCCTTAATGCTTGAATTGATTTCAACCAAAACATTGTGGGTTGGGAATTATTTTTTTCAATTCAGAAAGTTGATTTGACCCTTGGGGACGTGGGAGTGGGGCCTTAAATAGAAGAAGTTAGATAATATTTTGCTCAAAAAATGCTACTCTTTCTCCATGCTGGTGTAAATTTGACTACAGTTTGGCCGAAAACATTATCAGGGAGTGGCAATGATATCAAACCTTCATCAAGTGATCCTGAATTGTCCTCACCAAATCTTATTTTTTTCCACTTTTGTCAGTATAATATGGTACCTAAAAGTATTTTTAAAAAACTTAACTCTCTCTCACTCTTCCTCTCACTGTACGCTTTAACAAGATTATCTAAAGTGGAGTTATTCCCCTTAGTTGGAAAAGTGTCAGTATAAATGCTTTCTATAAAAGAAAAAGTTTAATAAATGATGTGTCTAACCAAAGACCCTTATCTGTTACTTCCTATTGTAGGAAAATGATTGAAAAAAAGTATTTTCAAATACTTGTAAAATCATCTTGTTAGATAATATTATTGCTAAGCATTAATTAGGACTCATGCCTAAAGTTTCTATATGTAACAGCTTTCAAACAACTCTGGTCTGTATTTCACACCTAAGAACAATGTCTTGACCAGTATTAAGATTAAAGATTTTTTTTGTGACATTAGCAAAGCATTTGACAGGATATGGCATGAAGAGCTTTTATGTAAGTTACAAAAATATGGCATTGAAGGGAAAGTATTCATTTGATTTAAAAATTTTCTAATTGATAGGCAACAGTGAGTACAAACAGAAGGATCATATAAAAATTGATCTTTTAAGGATAGTGAAATACAAACTTGATAGCAAAACACAACAATTCATATTTCATGTGCAGGACCTTTACTGGAATATGCTGATATCGTGATGTACAATTGCCCGTTATATTTAAAAAAAAAATTTATTTGAATCAGTACAAACTTTGAGAATATTAACAGGACTGCACAGAGGTACATCTCATGATATTTTATATAAAGAAATAGCTGGTTTCCCTTGGAATTCCAAAGAAAACAGCATAGATTAGTAAAAATGTTAATTTTTTTTACATAATGTAGTTATTTGCGGAGATAGAATTTCCAAGCCTCACCAGTTGATGGCCATTGCTGAAAATGAAATGATTTGTTGGCCAGTATCTGATGAGGTTAAGAAATTTTCTCAAGAAATATTTACAAATTTATAGCTTTGTTTGAAATTCACTGAATGGTGAATGCAATTTCTGTTTACCACAAGGCTGGGACCCAATTGGGAAATCATTTTGGAAATGTTTCATTATGTTTGATATTCTTTGTTACATTTGAATAGCTGAATAAGACAGGTTTGCAAATGTAAATACAAGTACTCTCTTATTGGTGACCTCTTATTAAAACAATCTCTGAAATGATTTCAGTGGAATTTTCAGAAACTTTCCATGGCAGTCCCCCTTTTTGCATTCAATATTGTGTTTAAGTTGTAATCCATCTTGTTTTTTGTTTGGAACCAAATATGATCGTATATGTATGTTATGTATGTTATGTCTGAATATGTTTATGTCTACAATGTAAATATAAATATTATTTTTAATTTTTAATGAAAAGTGCCATGAATCTAAAAGAATATCATGTGATACTTTTTGTGATTTAAGTATTTAATGATGTAGCCATTATCAGGTTACCTGATGAAAGCTGGTGAGTCGGGGACACCTGTTATCCAACAATGACTCAATCCCTTAACCTCATATCTAAGAATAGGCTTGAGGGATATAGTAAGTTGTTTTCTGTGAACAGGTCATTTCCTTGAACACACTATCATTGACTATTAATTCATTTGTGAATCCTATTGAATTGGTGGCAGAGTGTTTGTTTGTTGTGATGGTGTGTTGGTTTTGAAACTTGAATATGATTATAATTGTCATTAATTGACAGAAATATTTGCTCAAGTCCAGAAACCTCTGAAGCAGATAACAACAGGTACACTTGGCTCAATACTGCATTTTATTGGTAATCATTGTGATGTCATAAAACTGGTAAGCCATTGTAACACTATACATGATTATTGTGCATGTTTAACACAATACCTAGATAACTAAAACAGCTTTACAAATCCATGTTTAGTGTAAATCTTAATCAGGGTTCATTTGAACCAGTTTCAGTGCTTTAGACTCCTAGCAACAGCTGCATGATGTAGTTTAATTCACTCTGTACTTTATCTATTTCTAAATTTTGTATTGAAATATGGTTTTTATTTGTGTTTTTTTTCTACAATCTCCCCGAAGGAATACATAAATGATGATGATACAGCTTCATATTTCAGAATTTTCTTCCACAAGACAAGAATATTAATGTTGACAGAATCATTGTTTTCGATAAAAGTCAAT